TTTGTTGTAGCACCTGTATTTTCATCTGCTGAATGAGCTATATCATTGAATAGATCTACAACAGCCCCTGTTGGCTGGTTACCTTTACAAGCATAACCAGTGATATACTTTTCAGTGGCAATTATTTCATTAACTGATGGATTTTCAGGTGAACTCTTTGATAAAATGAGTGATATATCTCCATTAGCTCTCCAACCTTGGGTATGAAATTTTGAATGTTGAACCAGCATAGGGTGATCTCTGGGCATTTCTAACCTTAAAGAGTGATTTTTGTCATAAACAATACCTGGTGAGTTTCTTAAGATTTTACCTGGTTTTTTGTCAGTACCAAACTCCATTCTGCAAACAAGATTATTTTTATTGGGTTTAAGACAATATTGAGAGCACCTGTGAATATTTATTCTATTGCAAAGTAGTAAATGGTCTTCTAACAGTGTTTCTTGTGATTCACTAACATCCATCAAGAGTTTCAGCAGAGGGTTCTTTTCTTCAGGTGGAGCTGGTGCTGTACCTTCAGGTGGTGGCCATAAGTCTTTGTTTGGCAATCCATTTTCATCCTTACCTGCAGGATGGTTTGCTGTTAAGCCGAAAATCGATTTTGCCCAATTTGAAAGTTCTTCTGCTGTTTGATCATCAGACAAACCTCTTTCAATTGCTTTGAAGATTAGATCATGAGGTTGTCGATCAGTACGCCAGCATAAACCATGCCAATGGATCATACCTCGAGATTTGGCGAATTCCTGGCGATACCAAAAAGCATCAACTCCAAAAGCAGGTTGCATAACTGTGTTGAAGTAAGATTGTGTTCTTAAATCAAAGTAGTGACCAACAATATGTGTGTTTTTTTGTAAGGCTGAAAATAAGTTATTCCCTGTTATCTAGGTCAAACAAATGCCTGAAGTTTTCTTTTGTATAGAGATGTAACAATCTTCTTAAAGCTTTGAAAATGGTATTCAGCACAACTGCCTGTTGTAAAGAATGATGGGAAGGCCATTACCTTCATTGATCTGAAATTGTATAAGTGACCTTAAACTCTTTGTTTCTTTGTGCCCAATACTGGGATGTTCCTCGTAAGGAAGCGCCAAAGTAAAGAATTTTTTTGGCAATAAGAGGTTGTCTCCATTTTTAATTTGTTCTTTAAGAATCAGAGAGTGATATTTGCTCCTCACCAAGTTGCTGTTTAACAATATAGCTACTTTGCTCTAATGTGCGTTTACGCATTATAATGTTGTGAACAATAAATTTGAAAAACTGGTGTTGAGCAAAACGACCATCTTCATACCACATTTGATGTTCTGCCCATTCTGACATTGATGTACAGGTCCTAGGGCGATTAATGTGATAGTCTCCATGACCATAAGGGAAAAGACATGGAAAAGCCAAAGTGTAAAAAAAATGGCATTGTAGTAAATTCAGACAAAGGAAATGTTATCACGTGTCGGCCATGGAATACATATTTTTTTCCGTTTTTCATTTACATGATTTTCACCAAGTACTTAATTCTTCAATGACGTTTTTCACTTTATCTTTTATATCTATTTTTTGATCAGGTAGTGAAATACTTGAGATTGTTTCACCATTAACATCTCCAGGATTTGTTTGGTCTGGAGCTGGAACTTGGTCACTGATGTCATTAATGTTTGAAACTTTAGCTTCTATTGTGTCTATTTGTATTGGTGCATTTTCAGGTAACTGCTCAATTCTTTCTTGACTTATGGTGATATTGGAATATGCTTTGTTATTTTTTTTCAACCATTTTAGTGCATTGAGCACTGCAAGTCGACGTACATTGAATTTTTTACTTGTGTTGTTTGCTCATATTCTTCGAACACAAATCATTTTTAATTCTTTTGGTAATTGAGGAAGAATATTTTGCAGGTTCGTTAACATCTTGTGGGAAAGTAACGCGAGTGAATTTAGCAAGCAATACCCACCATGTTTAAGCATGTGAACGTGCATAACAGGAGCTTTATTCTGCATATAAGTTGTTGCTCAACAAGAGTAAGATTTTGTAAATTCTGAAGGTACTTGCAAAAGGGTTTCATTAAATTTTTGTCAGAAAACATTTTAATACTATTTTTGTCAGAATGACAACGTTGACAAAGAGATTCTGAGGCCATTCTCATTTGTAACCTACGTTCATGGCATGTTGAACAATGTCCTATAGTATAAGACATTTGTTCTAACTCAAATGTACGGATACAATCCATGACTTTATTGAAATGTGTGTCATTTGAGCATGGGGGTGGGTTTGGTAGTTCATCAGTTATAACATTATATTTTTTTTCAGCGGATTTTACATGTGCAGAATTTCTTTGCCGTCTGAGAGTTGCCTCATAATTTGTTTCTGTGTTTATAGGCTCTTCAAAATTAATTCCTAATTTTCTACATTTGATAGACATATCAAAATCTTTACTGTTATTCAATTTAGAATCATTTGTAAAAGTGGATGATTTCATGCGCTTAATTGGCAAGAATTTTTTCCTTTTGCTAGTTTTGTTTTGATTAGTATTTCTTTTTCTTTTAGCACCACTGTAATTTTTGTTTAATTTTTTTGTGCTAGAACTCGGCACATTGTCCTCTAGTAGTGATGTATTTAATGGTTGTTCAGTTAATAAGGAGAAATGTTGATTTGACAGCAATAAAGTAATTGTTGTATCTGACACATTTGATGAACTGTAATGTTTCATGTGTAAGTGAGTTTTAAAATGTTCTGCTATCTCTATCAAAGCGGATTCCTTTCAGGAATGTATGTATGTTAAGTTTTAGTAAGTCACAAGCAACTTTTAATTCACATACTGTTCCCAGCTCACCCATTGCTGTTTTATCATATATTTCTTGGTATTTTTTTGAATTTTATGTCCAATTTAATCATGTGAAAAGTGTTGCAAGGTCTTCAAAATTCATCCCAGTGTGTAACAATGTGTGAACATAATAGGTTTCTATAGTAATTACTTTTAGAGAAATCACCATGTAACCCAAGACTTAAAGTATGAAAAAAACAGCTACCATCATGTGGTACAGCCCATTTCTTGTAATTTACACCATTAATAGTTAGAAAACTGTATTCTCCATTATAATTTGATAAGTTAGCTAGCTTGAAAGAATCATTTGCTTTTATTGGTTTAGTTTCTACAATGTGCTTTTCATGCAAGGCTGATGATGGGCATTTCTGTGAAAAATTTGCTGTTACAACATTTTCAATGTTTTTTGAACCATCAGTTGTAGTATCATGTGAATCAGATTCAATATTTACTGCTGTACAATAATTGTGTTCTTGATGTATTTCATTTGAATGTTTAACAATTTTTGTTTGAAGTTCTTGAAATTGATTTTCTACAACAGTGTTGTTCAGACAATAATTATGGTCATTGTAATTATCATCCTGCATATGTAAATGCTCAGATTGATTTGGAGAGAGTAAATATACCTGTGTCGAAGCCTGTGAATCATAATTTACTTCTGTACAATAATTGTGTTCTTGGTATATTTCATTTGAATGTTTAACATTTTTTGTTTGAAGTTCTTGAAATTGATTTTCTACAACATTGTTGTTCAGACAATAATTATGGTCATTGTAATTATCATCCTGCATATGTAAATGCTCAGATTGATTTGGAGAGAGTAAATATACCTGTGTAGAAGCCTGTGAATCATTATTTACTTCTGTACAATAATTGTTTTCTTGGTATATTTCATTTGAATGTTTAACATTTTTTGTTTGAAGTTCTTGGAATTGATTCCCTACAATTTTGTTGTCCAGACAATAATTATGCTCGTTGAATATAGACATAGTTATTTACCAGTATGCTTCCTGAATGTAGACATATTACATGTGAAAATAATGCATAAGATCTGGTAAGGTCTATAATATTTATATGAATTTTTTTTTTCAGGAAAATCAATTGAAATCATATGCTTAGAATTTGACTTAGATATATTTAAAACTTGTAGTTGTATACAGTATAGTCCAGTAGGACTAGCTCAAGTTATTGCATAAACTTGCATAAGTAAGTGAATAAAAATGTTAAAATATATTTAAATGTACAAAAGGAAACATGTAAAATTTGTGGTAGTCCAAATATGCAAAAGTAAATATAATTCTATGACTTTAAATAGGAAAATGTAATTATGCCAAAATAGTACCGTTCAGCCTGTTGAGACGACAGCGATAAAAAAAGCAGACGACTTTTTATAAGACTGGGCCGTTTAATGATAAAAAATCTGTGTAGTTTACACGCTTTTCGGAATGAAAATCAAAAAGCGCCCGCTGTTCATAACATTTAAACGAATTACAGTCAACCCGGCCCCAAGTCAACCCGGCCCCAAGTCACCCCGGCCCCAAATTGGTCAACCCGGCCCCAAACCAATTTCATTTCTGGTCAACCCGGCCCCATTTTTTTTTAATTATTTATTTTGCTTGAAAATGTAAACACTTATCAAGAAATAAGATAGAAATTAACAACAAAAACAAAAGTTCAATGATGATATCTTTTATTATTTATTTTATATAAAAAGTATCAATATCAACTATCAATATCAACAAACAAGCAAATTGTATATTATATAGTTCAACAATGTTCCTGACACACCCCTACAATGTTCATCACATATATATTCTTTGAAAATAAGTTAATAAAAAACGAAACAAATAATAATTATAATGATGAACGTATTCAATAAAAACATTCAAATGAATTGAAAAAATATTGTTGGAAACTATATAAATTTATACAAACCTTTTAACTCGAAATTCTATATATACTTCATCATCAATATTGCGTATTAAAGACTTAATCGGCGCAATTAAATTTACCGACACTTTTTTTTACTATTATTCTATAGTTAATAATCTTAAATTAATAATAAATCATTTTTATTCCATCATACAACAAAATGACGAAAATAGTTTTCTTTGAAAAATATATATATTGGGGCCGGAATGACCAATTTTGGGGCTGCACTGACCAATTTTGGGGCCGGGTTGACCAAATAAAAATATCGTGGGGCCGGATTGACCAATTTTGGGGCCGGGTTGACCAATTTTGAGGCCGGGTTGACTTGGGGCCGGGTTGACTTGTACCGCATTTAAACCAGTCCAAATAATCAGCCATTGAGGCGCTTGTTAAGCGTTTTACAAGAGGCGCTTGTCAAGCGTTTTACAACATAGATTTGAAAATGGCGGCGCCCGCTAACTAAGGATTTTTTCGCAGCTCATTAGGTTTGGGATATATATTTTTTTGAATTTTTCATTAACTTTTAATTTGATTTCTTTTGAATTGATACGCGTCATACATGTTATCTAAGAGCGCTACAGCCCTCGCGGGGCCTTTGGCCCCGCACGGACTTTCCGCATATAAACCATACCAACTTGTCAGACAAAAGTCAGGGACTGGAAGTAACAATATAGTCACTAAATTTATTGTACGGAGAATTCCAATCGTCCGAGACAAACATTCAAAGTTACTGTCTCTTGGAAGCACCTCCCTAAAGTTTAAACTATTTCTAAACAAAAAACCTCTATCTGGATACAGAATAATAAATTTAGAGAACTTAAAAGACCATGTCGCAGTTATATCGACCCATAGTTGCATATGTGAAAAAGCAAGAGCATTGGCTGCAAATGGCAAACCCCCAATCATTCTTAGATCTGAGAAATGTAAAAGTGGATTATTTAGTATCCTACTAGCTATTTGTGAAGGCTGTAAACAAGAATTCTGCTTAAATACAAGCCAAAAACAAGGAAACGGTCAATATGATATAAATGTAAGGGCAGTATGGGGAACTATGGCTAGTGGTGGTGGAGCAACTGACATACGGGAACAACTTTCAACAATGAACATACCCCAGTTGACTTCAAATATGTTTTCTTCTCTGGAAGATCAAATTGGAAAATGGTGGGAGGATGCTTTAAAGGAAGAAATGGGAAAGGCCGGAGCTGAGGAGAGGAGAATAGCTATTGAGAAAGGTAATTTTCATGATGGTATTCCAGCTATCACTGTTATATGTGATGGTGGGTGGTCAAAGCGGACATACAAACACACATACAATGCTTATGGTGGAGTTGGTGTCATTTTTGGAGCTGAAACCAAAAAATTGCTTTATATTGGTGTAAGAAATAAGCACTGTGTTATTTGCAAGCAGGCCAAAAATAAGACAGTTGAACCTAAATCACACAATTGTTATAAAAATTGGAGTGAAAGCTCTCAGGCAATGGAAGCTGACATTATTTTAAATGGTTTCTTGCAAGCAGAAACATCTCATGGAGTAAGGTACACAAAAATAATTGCTGATGGAGACAGCTCTGTGTTCCCACAACTGCAGGAAAAAGTGCCAGTTTGGGGAACATCAATTGAAAAACTTGAGTGTGCTAATCATACTTGCAAATGTTTGCGGTCAAATCTAGAAAAGCTTGTTATTGAAAAACCCCATTATAAAGGCAAAGGGAAATTAACAAAAATTAACAGATTAAGATTAACAACAGCCGTAAGATGTGCTATACGCATGAGGTCCAAAGATCAAAATGTAAAGCAACTGAGAAAAGATATCATTAATTCAGTTTACCATGTCCTTGGTTTTCATGACCGATGCAGTGACTTTTGCAAAAAAAAAGTAAAACATACAATGGATAATGATGGTGATGATAATGATAATGAATTGAACTTTGACAATGAATCATTTGATGACATTTTTGAAAGCCAGTATGAGTACTGGAAGTTACCATCTGAAAAAGAAATGGAAAGTTCAAGACATGCATCAAAAAATAAATGTCAAAAATCCGAACTGAAAGAACTGGTTAAAGATGTTCAATTTTTTTTAAACAGAATAGCAGATAAAAGTCATAGACTTATAGGAAATTTCACCATAAATTTATGTGAAAGTTGGATGGCTATTAGAGCAAAGTTTGATGGGGGAAAAGTAATAAATAGATGTTCCCGTGGTTCTTGGAATGCACGATGCTACGGGGGTGCGTTGAGGAAAAATATAGGAGTTGAATGGTCACCCATCACTTTCAACCATGTAACTAAGGAACCTGCTGGAGTTTTTTTTTTAAGCGGTGTTAGACGACAAGCACAACTTTTGAATGCTTCATCTAAATACAAGGCAAAACCTGATAGTAAAAATGTAAGAAGAAAAAGAAAACTAGAAGACATAGCAGTGAACAATTCAAAGAAAGCTAAACTTCATTATGGAAGTAATTTAGACGATTCACCAGATGTTTCCCAGTCCAAATTAAAAGAACTATGTGATAATTTCTTAAAAAGTCAGGTTAAAATTTCAGATACAGACATTTTAAATATTCAAAATAATACAATTGATCAGTCTTTAAGTGATACATGGAGAAAAGAAAGGAATATAAGATTGACAAGTTCAAACTTTGGAAAAGTCATGGCCAGAAGATCAACAAACGTCTCCTCAGCTCTGGTAAAAAATATGCTGTACAGTAAATTCCAAGGTAACATACACACTATTAGAGGTTTGACACAAGAGCAAAATACAATAATTGAATACAAAAACCAAAAGGGAAATGTAGAAGTTAGTAAAACTGGATTAAAAATATGTAAGAGTCATCCATATTTAGCAGCATCAACAGATGGAATTGTTCAAACCAAAAGTGACACTGGACTTTTAGAAATTAAAAATTTGCTACAGACAAATTCATACATGATAAAACAGGCCATAGGGAAAGTACAAAATTTTTGCCTTCAACAGTCAAACAACAAGGTACAACTAAAAAGAGAACATGAGTATTACTTTCAAATTCAAGGCCAACTGAACATATTTGAAATTGAATGGTGTGATTTTGTTATAAGGAGGACCAACCCATATGATTTATATATTGAAAGGATTAAAAGAGATAAAAACTTATGGACATTGAAAATGGTTCCAAAATTAAAATGTTTTTACATGAAATTTATTCTTCCGGAATTATCACTTCCAAGATATGGAACATACACTGGCATTAGGCAACCTGAAAAACCATGGGTAGGTTTAATACCAGTAAGATTCATAAGATGTTCCAAATGTTTAAAAAAAATAAATAAAAAAATTAAATTGTCATACTGTAATATTAATTAAGGTATTAGCACCCTAATGCATTACCTCCGCTTTGAAGAGTATTCAAATAGGCTAGAATTACTGTTAACTACATTGAAAATGAGGGCCATGGGTTCAATCCCCAGAAGGTTCAACTTTTTTTTTTCTTTCTTTTTTTTCTTTTAACATTATTTATGTATCTCTCATGTCCCATATGGAAAGAAAAAAGTGTTTAATATTGAATTTTTAATTTATATAGGTATTTATTGGCTAAATTATGCTAAATCTAGTGATAAATATGGTACCTGATATTTTCAAAGTGTAATATAATCAAAACTAGACGGTAAAAGTATTTAATATTTTACAAGATCAACCAATATACTTTTTTAAAAATTTAGGGAAACTTTGAAAACAGGCGCTCATTTGGGTAAATTTTAAGATTTTTTTTAATTAGGCTCCCTAAGTAGAAAAATGGTAAGACATGTGGTAAAAATGGGTGGGGTAGGGTAACATTTTTATACAGATTTCATAAATTTTAAGTAGGAACCATAATTTTGCTTATGTGGATTGTTAGCTGAATGGTACTATTTGTTTCTTACCAAAAATTAAGGGGAAAACATTTTTCATTAGAATGTTATTGCAGATTATTTAAAGGTTCCTCATTTCTAAAAAAGGGCCCTCATAACATCCTAGCTTGAGTTCAGAAAAGTGGACATAACTTGATTTCCGTACGGTAAACTTTGTTTAAATTTTTATATACAGGTGTACTTTAAGGTATACATCTGACCTATGATGTCAATTCTTTAGTTCTTGATAGTGCCCATTAGGGTCCTAATACCTTAAGGTGAAAGGTTGAATATTGTCATTTAAATGTATATTGTCATTTAAATTTTACAATAAAATTGAGCATACTATTATTCATTAATTTTATGAACGTATGTTACAATTCATAACATACAAATATATATATTAGGTTTCTAATTTAAATATATGAACCAATGTGAAACATTATGTGTATGTAGTTAAAGCTTAATGAGGGTCCATCCGCCCTTTCGGGCACAAAATGCAGCTTGCCCTGTCGAGTACGGACCCCGGACATGTCACCAGTCATGTCCTTAAAGAGTTAATTTTGAAGCACAAAATGGTGATAATTTACCTCCATGCAATTTCCACGGAGTATTAGCCAAAGATATGAATTTTGAGCCGAAAAGTAGGTCACTGTACGGTGGTCAATGAGAACCTAAATGTACAGTAACCTGTGACAATAGGAAAGGTGTTTAGCCCTGAAAAGGGCTGTTGGTGCCAGCTATAGGCCTGCCTTACAAGCCGTCTATCTGTACTAGGGGCTCACGCACCCTAGTACACCATCCTCGGCGTCTCAGCCTACTTTGTAGGGCCACTCCCCTCGGCATTAGTCAGGACATCGGCAGCTGGTCCGCAGAAGTGACGAAGTAGGAGTTCCGTAGTTACCGCCCACGGTTGAAGGCAAAATTTAAGTTGTCTACCAGCCAAGTTGTAAATCTTCTGCCGATGCCCTGTGCCTCAGCGACGTGCACGCTCCGAGGGGAAGTGAGAAGTGTGAAACATTATAACATAAAACTTAATTTATATACATGTATTTCAGTACACAGATCAGTCCTTGAAAGCACCAGAAAAAATTCTAACAGAATCACTGCCAAATTTAAGTAGTTGTTCAGTTCAATGTGATACTCAGTCTTGTGTGACAAATTATTCAACATTTTCCCAAGATACTGCAGGGCCATCAGGTCAACAGAAGCAGAAAGTTACACAGGTAATTTGTTGTTGTTTAAAACCAAAATAAAGTATTGTATTGCAACATGATGTTGTACTCTCTTAACAGAGATCTTTAAATGTTGTTCATTTTTTTCAATCTGAAAAAATATTTATTATACTTTTTTTAATTGAAATTAAAACATATTTTAGATATTATGGATGAGCACAGTATGTTTTTCAAGCCATCATGTGTAAAGTTTAAACATATGGGAGATTTCTGACAGACTGTCATTATAACGTTGCTTGATCATTGAGGTGTTTCAGTTCTATAAGTCAACATATGATGAATCTTTATGAGGAAGGAGCCAACTTCATATTTAATATTTTCAAACTTCAACAATATTTATGTCATAAAAATAAATTTATATTAATGCATTCCATTTCCAAAATCTATCATTATTCAGCCTTTCTTTAAATAATAAGCTGTGAGAGCAGTAAAACAATTTATATAGTTGGAAGCTGTAATTAGTCCCCTACCGGTTTACCGGAGGGGACTTTAGGTTTACCCTCTGTCCGTCTGTCTGTCCGTCCGTCCGTCAGTCTGTCCTTCCGTCTGTCCGTCCACAAAACTGGATCCCGCGATAACGCAAAAAGTACTGAAAATATTTTTATGAAACTTGGTATATGGATAGATGGCAGTATGGAGATTATGCACGTCTTTTTCTTTTCTTCCTATGTTGCAAATTCTGGTTGCTATGGCAACAAATAGACTGAAAATATGACAAATTTTACACATTAACTGGATCCCGCGATAACGCAAAAAGTACTGAAAATATTTTTATGAAACTTGATATATGGATAGATGGCAGTATGGAGATTATGCACGTCTTTTTCTTTTCTTCCTATGTTGAAAATTCCGGTTGCTATGGCAACAAATAGACTGAAAATATGGCAAATTTTACACATAACCTGGATCCAGTGATAACACAAAAAGTACTGAAAATATGTTTATGAAACTTGACATATGGGTAGATGGCAGTATGGAAATTATGCACATCCTTTTCTTATCTTCCTATGTTGAAAATTCTGGTTGCTATGGCAACATATAGACTGAATTTCAAGATTTCTTATTCTAGTTTTTAAGTTTTTTCACTTTAAGTTCTTTATTTCTTAAGGTATTTTCTTCAAACTTTAAATATAAGTTGCTTGTCATCAACCACATCATATGTGACAAGGTTTACAACTCTAGTACAAAATTTATCAGAATTACCTCCCTTGAACTTAAAATTTTCATGAAAAAAACATTGTTTTTTTTAATAACTTCTTTTTCTGAATGTATCTACTTCAAACTTCATATAAATGTTTCTTATTGTCACTCAACATTTGTGAGTGTTCAATACTCTAGCAAGACTATTTCCAGAATTATGCCCCTTTTGAACTTAGACTTTTTTTTGAGAAATTGGTAATTTTTACTCCAACTTCTTCAATCATGATAGGATTTTAAAAATGTTATATTTTGATAACAGGGATGTTTAAAAAATAACTTTAGAGTGTCCTTCAGTCCGTCTGTCTGTACATAAAAACTGTTTCCTGCGATCACTTTTAAAGAACTTTTCAACAAATTTACTTAAAATAGGAACCTAAGTGAATGGCCCTTCAGAATGTTGCTTTGGCTCTTACCGGTAGGGGACTTATGGATTGCTTGCAATACTATGATAATTGCTTGTTAGTCCCCTACCGGTTTAACCGGAGGGGACTTTAGGTTTACCCTCCGTCCGTCTGTCCGTCTGTCTGTCCGTCCGTCAGTCCGTCCGTCCACAAAACTGGATCCCGCGATAACGCAAAAAGTACTGAAAATATTTTTATGAAACTTGATATATGGATAGATGGCAGTATGGAGATTATGCACGTCTTTTTTTTTTCTTCCTATGTTGAAAATTCTGGTTGCTATGGCAACAAATAGTCTGAAAATATGGCAAATTTAACACATAAACTGGATCCAGTGATAACTCAAAAAGTACTGAAAATATTTTTATGAAACTTGAAATATGGGTAGATGGCAGTCTGGAGATTATGCACGTCTTTTTCTTTTCTTCCTATGTTGAAAATTCTGGTTGCTATGGCAACAAATAGCCTGAATTTCAAGATTTCTGATTTAAATTTTCAGCTTTTTCACTATATGTTCTTTATTTCTTAAGGTGTTTACTTCAAACTTTAAATATAAGTTCCTGGTCATCAACCACATCATATGTGACAAGGTTTATAACTCTAGCACAAAAAATATCAATATTACCTCCCTTGAACTTAGATTTTTTAGGGGAAAAAATGTTGTCTTTTTTAAATAACTTCTTTATTTCCTAATGTATCTACTTCAAACTTCATATATATGTTTCTTATTATCACTCGACATTTTTGAGAAGGTTAAATACTCTAGCAAGACTATTTCCAGAATTATGTCCCCCTTGAACTTAGATTTTTTTCGAGAAACTGGTTTTTTCACTCCAACTTCTTCATTCCTTATAGGATTTACTTTAAAATCCCACATCGTAATAATATGACAAGGTTGTATAAACTTAATTTCCTTACTAAGCATGGAAACTTAACACATTACTGTGATATAGACAAACTTATTTTATTATGTTTTGTGGTCGATATTTTCAAATACAGACTTCATCGTCAAATTCATTATAAATGGCAATACACAGGAGTGTATGACAATTAAAGAACTTTTTGAGGGACCGGTAGGGGACTACTGTATTGCCCGCAATACTATCAAATGCTTGTTAATTATTGATATTTCCTCTTATGTGTTCAACTGTCATAATTACCAATATTACATTTTCATTAGCCTCCGCCTTTGAAAAAAAGGTCAAGCCGAACCAAATTCCTGGGAAGAGAAATCCTTCATAAATGGATTGTTGATGATAAGAAGAAGAAAGAAAAGTGGTACCGTGGTACAGTTTTAGATGTATTATCAGGTAATTTATTCATTCTCACTTGAGGTGATTTGTGTTCATTCTTTTCATATTTTTTAAATCCAACATTCAATTGATTGAGTACATTGAAATGAAAACAATAGGCATGTTTCGTTTTTTATGCATAATTGTAAATGCATATTTTTTATGAAAAGTATGAGTAAAAATCATGATTGTTATACATGTATATTACATTGAAAACAATCAACATTATTTGATAAAATGAAATATTTTAAAGTAAATATGTATGTTATTGAAGGTATTTCAATAAATTATTATGTTGAGAGTATTTAGTTTCATACATAACAAAAAAAGAATGAAATAATTTAAAATGGATGTTGTTTGAAACTGTGAGATAAATGATTTGATATTTCATTATATATTAAATAGAATTAAATGATTATATAAATGTAGATACTAATTGTAGTCAATAACAATTCAATTTTTTCTTTAATAACATATTTTGTTATAAAGGTTGATTATACTTTACCACGTACAAAATTTTTGGCATTATTATTCAGTTATTTTTCAATTTGGCAAGACAAAAATTCATGTAATTTTTTAATATTTTTTTTTTGGGGGGGGGGGGGGGCAAACAATTCTCTTTTGGAATATGGCCTTTAAATGTCCTTATTATAAAAGGGATAAAGGCCCATCTTACATAAATATTTCAAAATGCCAATTTTTTCATTTCTATATATTTTTTGTCAATATTTTAAGCATTCATAGAAAATAATCCATTGTTTACCAATGCTCTTAAAATGATGATTATGGTAAATTTTTAAATAGGTAAAGATGGAGATCCGACAGCTGTATATGAGGTGTTGTATAATGGTGAAGAAACTGCCCACGAAGTGGATGGTTTGACTGCTGATTTGCAGGAAGGTTCATTAAAGTTTTTAGACATATAGAGTGAGTATCAGTTGCTTGTTTTTATAATCAAACACACTGGTAGTTGTAGCCCCATTTAACTTTAGGCATAAAAATGTTGTATTAATAAGGAAATAGTTTGTTAACAAGTAAGTGCTGATCTAGTGGCACATACTATTTGTTGATAAACCATGACATTGAAAACATATTGTTATTTAACTAAATGATTAAACACCAAATTCTTGTCAACTTAAGGTTCTTTATGATAAATGTGCCATTAAAAGTAAAATTAATTACATGTTAACTATGTTATTTTTTAAATTAAAATAATATTTAACTTTCATAATTCATGAAAATCTTCACATATTGATAAATTATGATAAAATTCCGTTGATCATGATTAAAAGCATCTATCATATATTGTCCATATTGTATCTGTTTGTATGTTATATATTAATATATTTATATATGATAGCAATGTTAGCAATTATGTATATGATAAGGTTGAATGTTACATTTTAACATTGTGAATATATAGCCATTTTTAAACTTTTTAACATTCACAAATATGTGATTGGCATTGTAATGAAATTAATGAGTGCTTCTATAACCTTTAAAACCTTCCATTACAATAAAATAAAAGCTTTGAGTTTTATTCTGACATGGACTAAATTATTTTATGTTAAAGAAAGCAATTCAATAACTAAGGGGATAGACGTTGTTTTCAGGTGCCATGTTCACCATGAATGAATATACAAATGGGCACTTTTTGTCTTCGTCCATCATTAAAGCTAGAAATTTGTCATATGAATTCAACACTGCCCAGTAAATAAACAAATTCATATTTATGTCATTATGTTATAAATTTAATTACATATATTATGTATGCATGACAGTAAATAGTAAAGAAATTTTTTTCTTCTTTTTACAGGTTGGCCACATATTTGTGTCTCAACATTTGTCATTTTTTATAACATTATGTTATTTGATATTTAACTTCAAAGTATGACAGATATCAAAAAATTGTTTGATGTTGAAGAAATTGTGAAAGTTCAATATTACATCAAGTTGACTGTTGCCTACTGATGAGGAGATTGTTATTTAGGATCAAAGGGAACAGGCTGTGTATTCATTGAATTCAAATTCATGAAATGTTGTGCTTTCAAGAAGATTAATGTAGTGATATTAATATCAAAGTGCTAAAAAGTCATTGTGTAAGTGTTATAACCAGTTAAGAAGTGTTATACATACATCATTGTTTTAAAAATTAAAGAGGATTGAAATGTGTGCAAGACATACTTCAGAGCAGAATTGAGTTATATCCTGTGAAAAGAAGAAAGCACCTTTGACTGATAGCAGGCAGTTTCTTTCTGTCCAGATCAATTTGCTACATTTGAGAATTTCAGTACAGCAGTTATAGTTACAAGACAGGTACCAAAATATATTGATTTATATTTATGATTAATATGTACAAGGAAATGTTAAATGCACATGTATATATTTTCACTCTTTCTTGATTAAAGTATCAGTTTGCATAGGATAACAATTTCTTTAACATTTGTATGAAAATGTTTAAAAAAATATTCTTATTAAAGATTAATTAAACATGTAAACAATATCAATCGGTCTAATATTCCTTATTTTCTTTATTTAACTGTATGAAAGTTACATATATATTTTTTATTTTAAAGTTCTTAAGATTTTATAGTCATTAGTGTTCAAGACAATAAGATTAATTGAAATTGCCAGTTATTGAAATTAAAAAAGGGAGGTAACTTTGATCAAACTTAATTATGGCATAGCTTGTACACCATACTTTGAATGAGAACTACTTTGTAAACAAATGTTTTTTATAAGAAATGTCATTTAATTGATGGAAAAAAATATCATTTTATTATATGCCCGAAAGAATTTCGGACATATTATGTTATACCCCCTGGCGTCCGTCCGTCCGTCTGTCCGTCCGTCCGTTAGCAATTTGGTTTCCAGAGCATAACTTAAGTTCCATTTGGCCCACAATATTCAAACTTCACAGGATGATTGTCCATATTGGGTAGAAGACCCCTATTGATTTTGGGGTCATAAGGTCAAAGGTCAAGATGACCTTAAAACTGAAAACAGTTTCCGGAGCATAACTTAAGTTCCATTTGGCCTACAGTGTTCAAACTTCATAGGATGATTGTCCATATTGGGTAGAAGACCCCTATTGATTTTGGGGTCACAAGGTCAAAGGTCAAGGTCACTATGACCTTAAAACTGAAAACAGTTTCCGGAGCATAATTTAAGTTCCATTTGTCCTACAGTGTTCAAACTTCATAGGATGATTGTCCATATTTGGTAGAAGACCCCTATAGATTTTGGGGTCAAGGGTCAAGGTCACTATGACCTTAGAACTGAAAACAGTTTCCGGAGCATAACTTAAGTTCTATTTGGCCCACAGTGTTCAAACTTCATAGGATGATTGTCCATATTGGGTAGAAGACACCTATTGATTTTGGGGTCACAAGGTCAAAGGTCAAGGTCACTTTAACTTAGAAATTGAGAACAGTTTCTTGAGCATAACTTTAGTTCCATTTGGCCCACAATATTCAAACTTTATAGGATGATTGTCCATATTGGGTAGAAGACCCCTATTGATTTTTGGGTCACAAGGTCAAGGTCACTATTACCTTAAAACTGAAAACAGTTTTCGGAATATAACTTAAGTATCATTTGGCCTACTGTGTTTAAACTTCATAGTATGATTGTCCATATTGGGTAAAAGACCCCTAATGATTTTAGGGTCACAAGGTCAAAGGTCAAGGTTACCTTAGAATTGAAAACAGTTTCTGGGGCATAACTTTAAGTTCCATTTGGACCACAATATTGAAACTTCAAAGGAGGATTGTTATTTGAAGGAGGTAATACTTTATTTTAGTCCCCTGTCTTACAAATGCTTCATCTTTACTAAAAAAAAAAAACACTTTCGGGCATATAATGCTCCGCCTAGCGGTGCTCTTGTCATCTTTTGCAATGGATTTATTTTGAAATTTTTTCAAGACTTCATAAAACAAGCAGTGGACTTTATCTTTTGTAAAAAATAAATAAGGAATTATTTGCAAACAGAAACTTTGATATCACAACAAACAAATGTTTTGAACTGTTGAAGGTTAGAATTTTTATGTTTTCATAGTGTTTTCATTGATTTATTTCTTCAATTTTACTACCAATTGTATAGTTATTATTGTTTATTGTAGTGAATAATGTTTTACTGTAGAAATTAAGGCATTGTTGCATAAAAACTTAATATCATGTACCCCACCCACTTTCAGTTAAATTAGTAAATTGATAAACCCTTTGACGGCTGGGATATGGACAGATAAGTCAAAATACCTGTGATTGACAAATATACATTTAATTTCGATTTTAAAGGCGTTTTGAGCTCCACACCCAAAGGCAAAGTCAGTGTCTGCGGCAGTGCGTGGCCGAACATTTCGTTTCATTATGATTCGAGATCCCTGCACATCTTGGAAAAAAAAATTCACTGGGATATATATTCCTTAAGTGGTATTTATATTAAGTGGTATTTATATTGTGTTCTACTAAATTCTTGAACAGAAAAGTATCAATTTTGTTGTAACAAACTTACTGTCAGATGTGAACAGGTGAAGGTGAAGGTTGTGTCTTCGTGGTCGCTAGACGCTTGTACCATTAATCAAAGGTGGGGGTCGTGTGCCTAAAATATGTAAAGTGGCGTAAAGGGGAGTAAAGTGGCGTAAAGTGGCGTAAAGTAAATATAAAGTGTTTATTTCGGTAAAAGAAACGTTTAATTATTAAAAATAAATAATAATGGGTAATCACTTGGATTAAAGGAATCTTTTTACATACTGAACTCTCATCAAAAACAATAAAAAGTAGGGGAGACAGGGATATTCCAGGACACGGCATTGAAGGTTTAATTTTGTTTTTAAGGAACTATGCAACTTAAATGTTAGTAAAAGGACAGGATTAGATGGTATTCCTGCCCGATTTTTGAAGGATGGTTCTAGTGTTTTGAAAATACCAATTACTTACATTGTTAATCTATCTTTTTCTGAAGGTAAAGATGAAGTTGGCTAGAGTAAAACCACTTTACAAGAAGAATAGTGTTCTAGAAGTTGGTAATTATAGGCCTGTCAGTGTTTTAAGTGTAGTTTCAAATTTTTTAGAGAAAGCTGCTTATGTTCAACTTGAAACATTTTTGGTTTCCAATAATTTACTGTATGAACACCAGTCTGGTTTTAGAAGGTGTTATTCTACAGATATCTGTCTTATTCACTTACAAGATGTTATAAGAATTAATACTAGTAAAGGGCTATACACAGGTATGGTGATGCTTGACTTGCAAAAGGCGTTTGACACCGTAGACCATGATATTCTTAGTAGAAAGTTAGAATTAATGGGTGTTCAGTCTATTTCCTGGTTCAGATCATATCTTTCAGAACGTTCACAAATTGTTAATATAGGAAATACTTACTCTAAATCAAACAGTGTGACGTGTGGCGTCCCCCAAGGTAGTATTCTAGGCCGTTGCTTTTTTCTGTGCTACGTAAATGATATGATTTTAAGTATTGATAATGATTGCAAGTTAATACTGTATGCAGATGACAGCACTATTTTATTCTCACATAAAGACCCGAATTTCATCTCAGAAAAACTTGGGACAGCCCTAGAAAGCTGTTCAGAATGGCTCGTAGACAATAAGCTGTCACTCCACCTTGGTAAGACAGAATGTATGCTGTTTGGCCCTAAAAGAAAATTACGAAAGCAAGAACAATTTACTGTTACATGTAATGGTCATAGCATAAAGGGTACTAATTTAGTCAAGTATCTTGGTCTATATATCAATAGTGATTTATCTGGGGAAACTATTGTTAATAACATTATTTCTAAAGTGAATGCCAAGCTCAAATTTTTATACAGGCAGAGCAGACTTTTAGATACTAAAACAAAACAGCTTTTATGTTCAGCCCTGATTCAGTGTCATTTTGACTACTCTTGTTCCTCTTGGTATGAAGGTTTATCAAAACATTTGAAAAGAAAGTTACAAATTACTCAGAATAAGGTATTAAGATTTGTCCAAAACTTAACGCACAGAACTTCTGTAACAGTGTGTGAGTTTGAAAAATTAAATTGGTTAAATGTAGAAAACAGAGTCAAACAGTTAAGACTCAATCATATGTATAAAATTTTTTACAAAAAGAGTCCATCATACCTTAGAGCCGACTTTAGATGTTGTGCTGATGC